AAAAATCTAATTGACTACAAGGCTACAAAGATTTATAATCAATTAAAATATTTATTAAAAAAATAGAATAAAAATTATTAAATTAGATTCAAATGATGTTTTAATATAAATAATAATTTTTAAATCTTGCTCAAACCCTTATTATCTTATGACTACATGATTATGATTTTTAAAAGTACACTTTGTTCGCGAACAGCTCGTGTTTGGCAAATGAGCCGAACACGAATACGAAATATAAACGAGTGTTCGGCTCGTTTACACCCCCTAATCGCACATTTGCTTGCAGACCACCCAATTCTTATGAAATGATATTTAATTTTTTATGCTTTTACCACCCAAATCTCTTTCACAAAAAAATAAATAAATATTTAATTTCAATTGTTATGATATGCAAATACATAAAATTTGAGTGGTATAGATGTAGATTTTCCTATAATAATTCTAAAAAATCGTGAAAGCACCCGCCAAAGTATTGTCTACTTACCCCTTTATAAAACCTCCCCCCACCCCTCTTTATAAAACCTCCCCGCAGGTCACCCATCCTAAGACGAGCATACTTAACATTAAAGTTTTTGATAGAATTCTAAGATTACATCAAAAGACGTCTTCAAAAAGTTCGAGTTTTTTTTTATTTAAAAAATTTCACAATCTCTCCCACTTCTTAACTACGTTTCACACCCACAATCATCCATAGTTCTCTAAAAGTGGCCCATATATATTCAAAATATAGCTCCCACCATATAACACTTTGTCCCGCCAAAGTTTCAAGAGGTGGTTCCAATATATCACACATAATTCCCACATTTAGACTAGTGTAATTAATGCTATGATAATTGAAATTTTTTTATTTTTTATTTTCATTTTCTATAATGAATATTTGCCACGACACTAAGGGTCCGTTTGGGGCAGCTTGTGTGTTTCAGGATAAGCTGCTTATCTTGAAACGCCGCGGGCTGGCCGTGGTGTTCGACCCGCGACCTGCATTTAGTGTAAAAGCTCAAACACGATTTCAGATAAGCTGGCGAAACGCGCGAGCCAAACGGTACGGCGGTGTTTTGAAAACGCCCGCACTTAAAAGCTGCCCCAAACGGACCATTAATCATTCCAAACATTGACACATAAAACGTACATAAAGACCAGCAGAGAAAAAAAAAAAGTTTCATAATTTTATCAAAATAATAAAAAGTTTTTGGGCTTTATGATATTTGATTGCTGCTTAAATGAAACCTGAAGCTCAAATGCAGTCAGCCTAACAAAAGCATAGATCAAATATAAATATTCAAAATTGGAACTGCATCTCCTTTGTATAGCCAAGGTCATCAAGGTGAGCAGCCATTGCCTTATTCATAGGTGCTGGGCCGCACCTCAGGATCTGCAACAGGTCAAAATGCAATTTTAATAAGATCCCCATATTATATATAGAGTCTAGGGTAATGCGTCCAGTATCTCATCTTAGCCGTCTGATTCATTTCGCACGGTTTCGATCGAATCAATCAAAACATCACATCAGTTTAAGAAAGAAGGGGAATTACATACATAACACTCATGCTGGTGCTTGGTAACCTAGAATATAAATTAATAGGATTTGTGTGTGATTTTAATGTAAATTGACCCAAATAGGGTTTGCTAAACCTAAATTTCTCTCCCACCCTCAATTTTTTTTGACGTAAAATGATTTAGCGCACAAAAAAGTTAAATCCTAAAATAAGATGCCCAACACGTTAAATAGATTTAAGTAAATTTATTTGGCGTAGTTGTAGCTTATTGAATAATCTGCTGATAAGTTGATTAAAAACAATATGCTGATAAGCTAGGTGCGGTGGCAACTACAAATTTTTATTTTTTTAGAAAAGTCAGATTGTTGCCAATAAGTTGTCACTGCACCTAGATAGGTGCGGTGTGAAAACGCTGCTTTCTGCGTTTTGAAAACGCATAAACTGCCAAAACACAATTTATCCAAGCATACCAGGTGTGTTTTCAAAATGCCACCACACCAAATAAGCCGCCCCAAACGGGCCCTTACAAATCTTAATTGAACCAAATATTATTATGAATTTAATCAAATCCGGATTTACTGGATTTACTAAATTCTATTTAACTTAGATCTTAAGTGCTATTAATAAAATTAAAATCGATGGCATTATTCTTAGGAGTTTTTGCAAGTAATTGTACGGGAAAAGAGTCATTAGATGTGTAACAGTAAAATCTGGCTTATTTACAGCACAAACAGCTCACTGCCTACAAGTCATCTCAAAAGAGATTATAAAAACCCAATATATTGTTGACACTCACATACACTTCACAAGATAAGTCGACTGGACATGGCGAGAGCAGCTAATGAAGAGTGCGACATTGAGCAATCAATTCATCTCAAATAATGTCCGTTTGGAAAGGACTCATCCGTCGCATTCAAAACATCAAACTTATCCAAGTAAGGATGTGTCTTGATTGAATGGAACATACACGGTGAAATTGACCGCACGAAGCACTTAATTTGGACCCAAACATCTCTACCTCTACATGAAGTCGCCCAAATGACGTCCAACCTTAAAATAGACTGCACGGGTGAATTTGAAATATCAAAATTGACTAAGGAAAAGTCTTCTACAATTGAAAGGAGCAAAACTACTAAAATCAAGAGACAGTCAAAGCTAGCCTAAATCTCTTCGATCGTCGCTGAAGTCACCGAAATGATCTCTGATTACAAAACGGATCGCACGGGCGTGTTCGGGATGTCAACTTTACTTAGGGAGGGCACTCTTATTGTTGGGGTTTCGTACACGAGTTGGTGACAAGTGAATCGAGATGTTTAAATTAAAAATAATAAAACTAATGTCATTTTAAGCACTTACCTCCACCTCCCTCCACAACCCCTCACAAAACCACTTCCAGCGAGTTTCTATCTGACAACCTCTTCTACGGCATCCAACCACCTGCTCGCCGCTCCTTAAGTCTCCTCCGTCCACTACTTGCCTGACCCACAAACTCCCAGGCGGCACCCTACTTCCGGCGCTGTCTTTTACCTTGCAAGCAGCCAAGCCCGCCCCCCCTCACATAACGTTTTTCAACTCCCTACAGCGCCTGTTCCGAGCTAGTCTCCTCCTCCCTGCCTCTAGCCGAGCAGCCCAGGCCCCATAACCCAGCTCTGTCATCTCCCTCGCCAGCCGGTAACCCGAACTCCCTGTTCTTATCCTTCTGTCCAATGCCATCCAACACTTTTTTCTTATTCCCACACTAGCCCACTGCATATCTTGCCGGAAAACTTATCTCTTCCTGCCGGCAGCCCCACTCATGACCCACTCACCGCAGCAAAACTTCAGCTCCCTCATCCACACCGCTCTCTACCTACTCCCGCTCGCAGCTCTCAGGCAGGACGCCTTCCCATCACCGGCAGACCTCTCCAACCTAGCCAACCGGCACGCCGCAGCCAAATACATCAGCACATGCACCCTAGCCGGAGAATTCATCGGTCGTTCCTGCTCAGGCGAGACTCCGGCGTCCGACCCGCACATCCTCTCTCTCTCTCTCTCTCTACACGCTTCTAACAGCCTATCTCCACCTCGGCAGAAATCTGAAATCCCTCGCTGTTATAGCATTTCTCCTCCCTCCACTACCCTGCGGCATTACCATTCATCTCAGCCGCCTTCTTGACGAGCCGCGAGCAATAATCAGGTAAATGAAATGGTTGGTGAAGAAAACCTAGCTTCTACATTAAAATTAAATTTAATTTAATGTGGTCATTTAATCTTGCTGATGTGCATGGTGCATATGTAAATGATTCTGATGCTGGCAAAAGAGAGCAATCTTGTATGTTGAATTCATGCAGGCGTGTTAAATTGCCGTCGTGCCGCACATAATGTATAAGACTTGTAACTCCTGAAATATCTATTGCAACGTATTTGGTGTGTCGAGCGAAACCCTATACCTGCTTTTCCTAGCGTAGGAGGGCGAAACTCGTACGCGGCACTTGCGACGCGGTGAGCGAATCAAAAAGCTCCTAAAATGTTTATTCGGCTCATTTGATTCGTAGAAGAGAGCCCTATACACATTTTTTTTAGCATGATGGAGTGAAGCTAACACGCGACGGTCGATTCATGATAGACAATTCTAAATTAAGTACCCATGCGCGCCTTTCTTGACACGGCGAGGAAATAAGTTGCATGTGCTTGAGGTTGCACGTGTGACATTTGTACATGCTTTTCTTAGCATGACGGGAGATCCTATTATATTTTTGAAGACCCGTACACACATTTTTTTGTGTGGCGGGATACACTACTTTATGGCATACATGCCTTCCTTGGAGTGGTGGGTAGATCCGGACTCCCGAAGCAGCCCCCCCAAAGGTGGACGACGTCGGGAGGCTGCTGAAATGCTTCCGGATTTTGGTCGGAATGCTAGTCATAAAAGAACAACTAAATTGAATTTACTTGAACCAAAATGCAATCTGATTAAAAACTCTTAAGCTACATATGAAAGATAAATGATTACATAAATCATTTTAAACTATGAAATTAAATATAAATAGAACATGCACAACGCACAAGGAATTCGATGCTCATCAACGAGCTCGAATGAAACCTGTATGGGGTCCATTTGAATATTCAAATGGGAGCTAAGCATGAGAGAGATGCATAATTTTATATATAAAAAAAATCAAAGTCTTTATTCGCCCTAATTGCCATTGGATCCGCAACACACATCTAGAAACGGACAAAAGGTGATATTGAGGTGGTTGAAGTGAAGTTTTGCATGCTCACCAACAGATCCACAAGAAACATCTAAAAGCGGACAAAAGGCGATATTAAGATGCTTGAAGTGAAGTTTTGCATGCTCGCCACTAGATCCGCAACATGCATCTAGAAGAGGACAGAAGGGGATATTAAGGCGCTTGAAGTGAAGTTTTGTATTCTTGCCACTGAATCCACATCTCCAATTACACAAACAGACAGAAGGCGAAACTAAAAGCTTAAATGAAAATATTTTCACAAATCCTATTGATAATATGTTCATGCAAATAACAAGAACTTCCTTTAAAATCAATAAAAAATGCCAAACAATAAATTTTAAATATTTGCATGTGCTCTGAATGCTTCTAAATATTCAACTTATGCGTACAAAATACTGCGCGGACAACAGTCTGTCTTGCCTATATGGCGCGTCATTAGTCTCATACTTTGACCAATTTGATCCTCCTCCTTACATGGAACGAAGTTAACCAGAATCAGCCCCCGCTATGTCAATCTGATCATCCTCTCCGCAAGAATTGGAGTTGACAAAATTGAGCCAACGCTGAGCTAGACTGATCCTCCTTACGATGAATAGAGTTTACAAAACTAATATTCTTAATGATATTTAAACAATCAATCTCTGGGGTTGCCTTGCCTATAAGGAGAGTTCATAAGTCCCACATTTTGGCCAACTTGATCCTCCTCCCCCCTATAAAAACCACCATTGACAAGATTGAGCCCCCACTTTGCCGATGTGATCCTCTTCCTACAGGAAATGGAGTTGACAGAATTGATCCCACGTTGAATCAGTTCGATCCCCCTCACGAGTGCTGGAGTTAACAGGACTATCATTTTTAATGTAGTATTTCGCAATTTTGGCCCAAGTTGACAAAATATTTCAACCAGAGGGGTATCTTTTAAAGTTGTCTCAAAGTCCATTTCAAATTCAATTATTTAAATTATTGAACTCAATACTCTGTAAGCGAGACAGTCGACAGGGTTTAAAGACTTCAATCCCGATGATGGTCGTCTTGATAGTAAATCTCAACCGAAGGGTTCTATTTTCAAAATTATATTTTAAATTCTATTTGAATAAGTTCAAATTATATATATATATTAATTACGAACCTGATCCTATGTGAGCGGGACAGAGCCGATAGGGTTTAAAAACATAAACCACAATGATGGCGGCGTTGATAATAAATTTCAACCGAAAGGGTCTATTTTAAAAATTAAATCTCAAAGTCTATTTCTAAAATTCAAATAAATTATATACTATGAACCCGATCCTCTGTAAGCAAGATAGAGTTGACAGGGTTTAAAGATAAACAATTCTCTGATGATGACCAAGTTGATAGAGCATTTCAACTGGAGTTGTCTATTTAAAAAAATAAAGACAAATATAATTTAAATCATAAAAAAAAGATAATATAATATTTAAATAAAACTTTACCACCCAATGCTTAAAGCAAAAAATCATCCACCCTCCGCAACCGTTTGTCGAGGTGGACAAATATAATACTGATTCGAACTCGCCAAGAGTCAATATCATACATATTCAAACTTAAAACAATTCTATGTCAGTAAGGACATGACCCGAGTTCTCTATTCGCGTGGTTCTTGCCGCCAAATGACATCACAAAGA